TGGCTGAGCTCAGACTCGCTGACGGGGCTGGAGATGGATGCGTTTGCTCGTGTGCTGCGGCTGGGCTGAGGCCTGGGTAACTGGGCGTAGGAGCCCGTCAGACTGAGACAGAGGCTGGAATCGGGGGATTCTGGGTCAGACGGCAGCTTCTCCATGCGCTGGTTGAGCAGGCGGAGGGTCTCTCTCTTCAGAGAGCTGCTGGGACTGAGCATCTGCTTCTGAGCCGGAGCCAAACACGGCCTCGTTTTGGGCCCCAGAGTCACAGAGCAGTCTGATGTGGGCGTCACTGTGCTGTCCGGTTCCTTCTGCACCTTCTTCAGCCGCGGAGACAGAAAATTACATTTATATTCACATTTGGACATTACAGTCATTTAGCAGACGCTTTTATCCAAATGAGGACAACGGAAGCAATCAAAATCAACAAAAGAGCAATGAGTTTTTTATTAAAAGTTATTTAACTCTTTCCCCGCCATTGACGAGTTATCTCGTCTTTTAGAAGAAAACGCTTCCCCGCCAAAGACCAGTTTTTACGGCTTTCCGTGTCTTCACTGTTATACACTCGAGGCGCTATTACACATCTTCTGAACAAGTACAAAACCTCTGTATTGTGCCATTCATTCGTTCAACTAACCCATTGGTTTGTGGATGATATGGTGAACAAAGACTCCTCTGTATATCAAATAATTTGCAGAGTTCTTTGTTGATCTGGAGAAAATAATTTTCCTTATTGGTATAATAAGAAGCATAACAGCAATATTACTAAACTAAAATGTTGAGCAATTCCACATACAAACCTGATTAACACACTCCCTGCCTTGATCCGTAAGGATTCTTTCCAGTGCACCAAATCGATAGAAAGTTTTCACAATGCATCCTCTGCTGTTTTGGAGGCAAGTGGATAAGACTCCACCGACTTTGTAAAATAATCAATAAGTACACATATGTACTGGTGCCCTTTTGAAGTCATCGACAACTTGCCAATCAAGTCCATGCCTACCAATTCCCATGGTTCACAAAAAAATCAGACAATGAATAATAATAATAATAGGAAAACACACAATTATTGGAGTGTACTCCTGGATTTTGACAGTTCTATTGGACTGGCAAGCAGAACACTGTTTAACTCTTTCCCCGCCATTAACGAGTTATCTCGTCTTTTAGAAGAAAACGCTTCCCCGCCAAAGACCAGTTTTTACGGCTTTCCGTGTCTTCACTGTTATACACTCGAGGCGCTATTACACATCTTCTGAACGAGTACAAAACCTCCCGAACAAAAACACACCTGAACAGGACGGAGAAACTAGCCATCTCTTATGTAAACAGATGCATATGAAAAATAACAGCAATAGACAGCATATAAATGAAAACTGCATAATGTTACGGAGTACAATGTTGATTTAGGAAGTGATGTCTGTGCAAGCTTTGGAGGTGAAGCGATTTACTGGATTTATGCTTTGATAATCGTACTGAAAATGATCCAGATGTAGTTTTTGATAAAAATATGATTTTCTCACCTTTTTGCTCAAAATTATGCATTTTTGATAAAACCTACCTACCTATATTCAAGTGTTGATAAAAAAAAGAATGCTTTAAGCTAGAATAAAACTGATTATTTTGTTTAAAAGCAGATCTGATCTTTGCTGTATGAATATTTGAATATGCAATACACCAAAATATACTGGAGGCCATCAAAGTTTAGTGAAAATCATCAAAATCGCTGACGGTGGCTGGCAACCTTTTTCAAAAATGCTGAGAGAGAGGAAAGAGTTAAAGTTATTTATTTCTTTGTGTTGTTACTTACAACACAAGATCAATTGTCAAGATAATTGTTTAATGCTTATTACAATAAACACATTAGACCAAATCTGTATTAAATTGTTTCGTTTACATTTGCAACATTCTCTGTATTAAATTAAATGAAGTAAATACAATTTCTAAATGAAAACAAAAATGTATCACTGCCTTTCCGTGACAAATTTGAATTTTGTAGATCTTGGATTATGTGAACTAAATAAAAGTTTTAATGATATCCATAGTTTGTTTTAAACTCTTTGGAATTCTGATTCAACTTCATACATTTGATATAATGCAGCTGAGATGGTGATTGATGCATTTAATTAGAATAATGATATGATTATTTAAAATATTTCATAGGAGACCAAAGCTCTATTACAGACCTAACCGACAGATTTCCACATATGAAGAGAACAATTTATCATTCTTTCTGAACAAATGTTTTTTTGTGTGTGTGTGTGTGATTGTGCAAATGGAGTGTGATTATGTTAACATGTTAAAGAGTGTTGAGGTGTAGAAATGGACCTGGTTTTGGGTATCTGTCAGTGTTTAGTAAATTTAAAATATATCTATTTTATCAGAGTGTTTTTCTTTGGAAAACTTTTACTTCACTACATTCCAAAGCATAATGTCTTACTTTTTACTGCAATACATTTCATAAGTTCAAGTTCATTTATTTATAAAGCACATTTAAAAACGGCCACAAGACTGACCGACTATTTATTTCATAAATAAAACTTGTTTTTTTTTTTTAGCGTTAACACTTAAGAACATTAGAAATGTAGTACTTTCTTGTACTCAAGTAAAACTTTGAATTACTTGAGTAAAAGTAAGAAAGTCCTAGATTTCTAATGTAATTAAGTATTAAATGATATTTAATATGAAACGTTGTGTGTGAGTGTGTGTGTGAGTGTGTGTGTGTGAGTGAGTGTGTGTGTGAGTGTGAGTGAGTGCGTGTGTGTGAGAGAGAGTGTGAGTGAGTGAGTGAGTGTGTGTGTGAGTGTGAGTGAGTGCGTGTGTGTGAGAGAGAGTGTGAGTGAGTGAGTGAGTGTGTGTGTGAGTGTGAGTGAGTGCGTGTGTGTGAGAGAGAGTGTGAGTGAGTGAGTGAGTGTGTGTGTGAGTGTGAGTGTGTGTGTGTGAGTGAGTGTGTGTGTGAGTGTGTGCGTGTGTGTGTGTGAGAGTGAGTGTGTGAGAGTGAGTGTGTGTGTGCCTATTTGACCATATTTTGAGGACAAATTTGTTCCCAGAGGTGGATGCTGAAATGTGTGTGTGTGTGTGTGAGCGTCCTCCTGTACTCACTGACTCTGGCCATGATCATCATTCAAGTGCGTAATATACTGCAACATCAAAACAAAAAGAGTACAATATATAATCAATGATTTATTGCTTTCAGACATTTAGACTCACTTTACGTGCCGATGATGATTTGACTTATAGACCTTCAGACTGACTTACAGCTTCTATCAATGGAAGACAAACTTCGTATACTGAACTATGAAAAGTTTTAGTTAGCAATGGCTGGTTATGGTCTATGCAACACAATTATATAAATTAAAAAAATAATAATACTAATTTTAAAAAATCTGATATAACTTTTTTTGGCCTTATGATAACACAAACCAAATTTGAAGATGAACAGATTAAAACCGTAGGAGGAGTTCGTTAAAGTACGAGGCCTGAAAATGGCAAAAACTGCACAAAGATCTTACAGGAAATTCAAAATAACGGACTTCCTGTTGGGTTTCGGATTTTGTACCAAGAGACATTTTTGTAGGTATTGGTGTGTTACATGTGTGTACCGAGTTTCATACATGTACGTGAAACGTAGTTTGAGGGGCACTTCGCTGAAATTTTACAGGTGGCGCTATCGAGCCATTTTGCCACACCCACTTCTGAAACCCATATCAGATGTAAAGTTCTGATGCGTGTGCAAAGTTTCATGAGTTTTGGAGCATGTTTAGGCCCTCAAAAATGCGATTTACTTTGGAGAAGAAGAAGAAACTGAGCAATTCCAAAAGGGTCCTCACACCATCAGCACAGTGATTTTTTTGATTTTTAACAAATTAAATAAAAAAATATGCTACTGCAATATTATACGAAAACATTAAAAAAAATAATACTGCAAACAAACCTTACTGCATGTTGCATGTAAATGCATCAGGAAAAAAAAAAGATATATATATACTGTATATACAGTATATACTTTTTTGCAGCATTAGAGGGTACCATTGAAATCTCAACATTTATGTCTTCCAATAATCCCAGCCGATCAACGTCAGCAACTTTTGTTTGACAACTTTTAAAAATGACGTTTTCTAAAGATAAAGCTGAAAATGATTATCAATAAAACATTAATACAACCTGACGATACTGAAGCAAATGTAATTTTCAAAAGCATTAGTGGAGATACGACAGGTATTAATATCTGACCTCAGAATCACGATCATATACTGCAATAACCATGAAGCAGAGAAAGAGTTCTGAACCTGCATGTTTTATTTGATCTGCACTGATGCTAAAAGTTCACGTATTCAAGAAACAAATACAAATAATCACAATAAAACAAACAACCTCCCGCTTCTGAATCACATCTCGCTTTCTGACAAACAAACACCTTCAGAAGAACAAACCAAATGAAAGAGAGACGAGACTAAACCACACAAACCTACTGACCTCGAGACGCCTCGCTGTATAAAAATACTAACACCAGCCAAACAGGAACGCAAATATGACAAAATATGTATTCATATGCAACAATTTGGACAAGGTTTGGTGGGAAAAATAATTATGGAGGTGAGATTTTCCTGAGTCATATAGTGAAATGAAGCCAAAACCAAAACCTCATTGAATATAAAACATCTAAACGTCATCTGCTGGTACGAGAAAGAAACGGAAATGTATTTGAACTGTTCGTTAGTAGAGATCACAGTCAAACAAAACACACGAGAGAAAGATTTCGTTTGGTGTTTCACTCCTTGGCTGAAGTCTGAGAGCCCTGGCCAATCAGAGCAGAGCGCTGAGCTGTCAATCATCGAGTGGGCGTGGCTTCAGGCGTCACTATTGCCTGATTTATTTAAATGATTCACAGAGATGAGAAACGGAGGCAAGAAACACGTCAAACTAACAAACTCCATTCAGTGTGTTGTGTTTCTGTGGAGGAGACACCAAAAACATCCACTTCCTCCAGAACGATAAAAAGGAAAACAGAAGGAGTCGGGTGTGTGATGCTGATGCTGATGCTATTGCTCGCTCAGCTGCTCTCTGCTCTCTCCGTGTTTGGAGGGCTGGTTTGGGGACGGCGTCTGGGAAGGGTGGTTTATCGCGGTCACCGGAACCAGACCCTCCAAACCCGCTGCCAGACCTGACGGGAACCTGCGGGAGAGGGCGAAGGTCACCATACAGACAAGTGACACGCACTGGGATGTGATCAGCATGAGATACAGGGTTGTGAAAATGGGCAGCCAGGAAGATGTGTACTGTAACAGTGTTACAACTATTAAAAACAACTGAAACTATAAAAACAAAAAAGGTTTTGATCATTGAAATAAAGCTGAAATAAAATACAGATATTAGGTGAAAAAAAATGTATGCTTAAATGTTGAGTTGTTGCCATAGCAACTAAATAAAATATTACATGAAACAAAAAAAAAAACATACAAATTTAGATGAAAATGAGAAATATGGCCTTGGCAACTAATTGAAAAAATACAGTAAAATATAATAAAAATAAATTAATAAAATATTAAATTAAAAATTGTAATAAAAATGTTGAAGTTGAAAAATGTAGAAATGTTGTTTTGGTAACTGAATGCAATAAAATAACATCAAATAAAATATTAGATGAAAAACTTAAACTTAAAAAAACAAAAGTAAATTAGAAATGTTGCAACTAACTGAAAATTAAATTAAATTAAAGATTAGATGAAAAAATGCTGTCTTGGCGACCAAATGAAATAAAACAAATTGAAGTACTAATATTCATAAAACTCAAATAGAAATAAATTAAAATTCAATATTTTAAATATAATTTTAAAAAAAATCTAATAAAGATGACAAAAATAAGAAAATGACATACTTAAATTTTAAATGAAAAGCTAAAATATAAAAAACAAAAAAATTATTAAAAATATATAAATAAATACTATAATAGTAAATAAATAATACTAAAATAACACTGGTCTCTAAATGGTCAGATAAAAAAATTTTTTTTTCTCATTTTTAACTCTCCACTGTGTATTTCTAATTCAAATGTCTATGAACATTTATTAGGGTCAATATTCAGTTCTGTAGCCTATTTATCATTTTATATTTCAATTTATATTTCAATTTTTTTATTTCAATTTGTGACATTTTAGTACTCCAACAAACTTTTATTTCTGTTAGTTGGCAAGGCAACATTTGTCATCTTCCTTTAAGTTTTCATGTTTCTCATCTAATATTTATATATACTGTATATTTTTTTCAACTTCATTTAAATGAAAACAACAAAAAACGATTCTCGCTTATAGTAATTTGTGTAGAGTATGTTTCTGGCTTAAAGCCTGTAAAGATGTAGATCTCTACAGAGGAAGGTTTAGGAAACAGGAAAGAGAGTTTATAGTGCTGTTATGAGAGCAGAAACATGAAACTAAACTAATCTCTTAAACTGAACTCTGAGGGAGGGTGTGGCTATCAGGGGTCAAAGGTCAAAGCAGCAGAGAGAGAGAGAGAGAGAGACGGGCGTCTGATATTCTTTTACCTGCTCTCGCTTTAGGCATTGATTCTGTCTTGGGGGGCGGAGCCAGTCGTGATGGCCTGCAGGGATTGGTTGACTTGGCTGCGTGAGAGAAGCAAATGGGGCGGGGCTCAGAGTTAAACTCATGTGTGGGGGTGGAGCTTACGGGATTTTAAGTGCTAATTATTCACGTTACTGGGATCGTGGTGAAACAATGAATGAAAATCAAACGAAAAATGAATGATGTGCTTGATAAACATTAAATAAGATTGCGGTCGTACCTGTAGGTGGCGCCGTTGAGCTCAGGATGAACCTGCTGCTCCATCAGGCCCCAGGAACCTGATGACACAAAAAACTCCTTATTGACACAGTTCCTCAGACTGTCAGGAATCCGGCCTGAGAAACAAAAAGAGAGCGTTTTAATCATCAGATCAGCTCGTGAGTGAGTGAATGAATGAATGTGAGTGTGTGTGTGTGTGTGAGTGAGTGAGTGAGTGAGTGAGTGAATGAATGTGAGTGAGTGAGTGTGAGTGAATGAATGTGAGTGAGTGAGTGAATGAATGTGAGTGAGTGAGTGAGTGAATGAATGTGAGTGAATGAATGTGAGTGAGTGAGTGAGTGAGTGAGTGAGTGAGTGTGAGTGA